ATATATATATATATATATATATATATATATATATATATATATATATATATATATATATATATATATATATATATATGTATGTATGTATGTATATGTATGTGGTAGACAAATCTGATAACAACTTTACATCTCCAAAACCCCATCAAAATAATCCATACCTACACATGCTTTTTGTTTTATTTCCTACCATTTTCTTCATTTAAAAAATAAAAAATAAATAAAAATAAATCATAATTTTGTGGAAAGGTCCTTTTACTGAGGAGTTTGTTAAATTATACCCCTTCTTTTTCATTAAATTACAAAAAGAGGCTCTTATTTGGATAGGCCTGGACCCCACAAAGATTCTCCCTTCCATCTTTTTTTGTGGGCCCTAACAGGTTAGGGCCCAATCATATCCCACCCATCACAATCATTATAAAATTCATGGAACTGCATCGGACGGCTGAGATTTGCTGCCCATTGTTTTGGTGTGTCTCAATAATGTACCCAATCATTTTGCTTACTCTCAATTAAATTATTTATTTTACTTTTTATTTTATTTCTAAAATGTAATGATTAATTCTTTTCTATTCAAAATTATTGCAACTAATTCAATTTCTTGGTTGAATAATATAAAATTGTAACATATATAAAAATTATTTTGTGAATATATATATATATATATAAATATAAATATAGGAAAAGAACCCAGATCACCAACTAAGGCCTCTAAATGACCGCTCAGTGATAAAGGAGTTAAGAGGAGTAGAGACAGTCAAGAGGTTTGTTTAGAAGCAGTCACCCTTGAAAGAGTGCGTAATAGCTCACTAATCGAGCGTTCTTGTGTCGAAGATGAATGGAGCTAAGCGATATACTGAAATTGTGGGATGGTGAATGAAACAAAAGTGAGAAATACCAGCTTGAGTAATGCAAATATATTTTTAAACATTATAATAAAATAATAAATTTAAATTCGTGTTTAACAGAGTATAATCGGTTAAGATGAGTTAATCCCAATCTAGTAGTTGAGCCAATCCTCGGAGGTTGTGGCACGGTCCACGATGGTAGTCGATAGTAATATTTAAATTTTAAAAATGAAAAAAAAAAAGATTAGAATAATTTGGAAGGGTTAAGTTAAAAAATTAAAAATTAAAATTAAAAAAAAAATAAAAAAGGGTATAAGATTTGAGTGTCACGTGAGTGGCAGAGTTAAACAATGTTGGGTCGGGGTTTGTGATCGATTCACATGCAAATGCTTTGCATGTGAATGGATGATGGGAGGATGGAAGAAGAAGCCAATAGATTTCCCAACTCATTTCTTTCCATATTTTTTTATTTATTTTTTATTTTTTATATAAAAAAAAATTCGATTAGAAGCACTTATTGTTTATTTGAGTATAAACTCTTATGGCTTTGGTTTGGGTTTTCCCAAAAGGCCTCGTAGCATTGAACATGTATTCCTTAATTATAAACTCATGATCATTCCCTAAGTTAACCAATGTGGGACTCCCTACTAACCATCCTCAACAATCCTCCCCTCGAACAAAGTAGAACATATAGCTTTCTTTGAGGCCTATAGAGCCCTCAAATAGCCTCCCCTTAATCAAGACTCGACTCCCTCTTTGGAGCCCTCGAACAAAATACACTCCTTGTTCAACACTTTAGTCACTTTTGACTACACTTTTGAGGCTCACAATTCTTTGTTCGACGTTTGAGGATTCTATTGACATGACTAAATTTAGAGTTTGATCATGGGGCCTCTTGGAGAAGCTCAAAACAAAGACACGAGAGTTTATGCTCAAAGTGGACACTATCTTACCATTGTGGAGATCTGTAATTTCTAACGATTCATACCGTTTGAGTTGGATTATAAACTTATTTAGATTGTGTTAGATTCAACTAAGCAAAAAATTTTAATGGTTAAATTGGTTTAGAGTTTTTTAAAATTAGATCGGTAATTTTTTAAAATATGTTTTTATTTACGGTACAATTAAGTACATAATATTAATGCGTAGGTAAAAAAAGTTGGGCAGTTTGGTCATTACAAAAATTCTTTCCCGTTATTCCCATTCTTTTCTCAGCCATCCAACTGTACGAAACAAAATACCCCGCCTTTTGTCTTTTCTTCACGCCATTTAATAATGCCTCAATATTATTAAATAACAAAATGACCCATATACCCTTCAAATTTAAAGTTTATTACAATCACACCCCTACACATTTAATTTATTGAATCAGTTTTTTTCTCTTTTTTAATATTTGGTTCAACATTTAATTTATTTGGTTCAACTCATAATTTTGGATTGGTTGGAGATTATGAGTAAGTCGAATAGAGTTCACTACTCAACTCAACTGAACCTAACCCTCGATTTTCTGGTTGAGTTAGAGGCTTGAGTAAACCGAACAGAGTTCACTATTCAACCAACCAAACATATCCCTCGATTTTCTGGTTGTGCGGGAGGCTTGAGTAAACTGAATAGAGTTTACTACTCAATCCCCAACCCAACCTATCCTTCGATTTTTGGGTTGGGTTATTGATTTTTTTTAAAAAAATCATATTTAGAATTGATATGAGCCAAGAGACATAAATCATACAAAATATTTCAACGAAGATGTGAACAAAATGCTGTTGAAATTATCAAAAGATATTTTAATTCATGCTCCATGAAGAATAATGAAGTTTCATTGTTATAAATTTGGAGTGGATTACAATTTAGAGTAATTTAGAATTATTGTATTTCATTAATGTATTTTAAGGCTTTTTATTTATTTTAGGTTACCTTTACGGGTTAATTATGACCGTAAACTATTAATGTTACCTATCTTAGAATGTTATTTTGAGACTATAAAGTCATGCATATTGTATTAATAATTAAAATCTCATCAAACTTAAATATTAGATATTCACAATTTTAAATATTCTTAATATTATCATAATTTCAAAAGTATGGTAGGGTTGGGTTAAGCTGTAACCTATCGGTTGGTTTGGTTGACCTAACCAAAAAAAAAAAAAAAAAAATGGTAACCCATGAACCAACCCAAATTTTCGGGTTTTCAAAAATTCAATTCAACCAAAAACAAATAATTATGTTTTTGAATTGGATAATTCGAGTTGTTCAGGTTCTCAAGTTATATGAATACTCCTGACAAATAATTATGTATATTCTTTTCATATATGCTTTAATAATTGACTTGTTATTTTCTATTCAACCGATTAATAATGTAACAAATGTGGTTGTAAACCTTAATAAAATACTTTGGGCTACTTAATTAATTAATTAATTAATTAAAAATTTTAAAATGTGATTTTAATAATTAGCAAAATTAATTAAATGTGGAAAATTGCGATGGTGACAAACCAAACACTTCAGCCTGGCTTGTGGAATGTTTACTATTATAAAATTACAGAAATATAAAATAAATTAAAATTCATTGCCAACAAAGCAAATTCCCTTCTTTGCCCCTCTCCTCTAAACATTTAAAATGCTTACAGCTTGCCTTCTGTACCGACACACGCCGCCCTTGCTCTGCCGCTGGACTGTTTCTCTCGCCGGAACTCGAATGCTTCCCGGCCGCCGTCGCTGTTTCTTATGTTCCTGAATTAACTACTGAGTTCTTTTCTTCTTGCTCTTAATGGCAATGGCGTCTCTTTCTAAACGTTCGTCTCTTAGTCCGCCTCAGCCGGCGGCCGCCGCGAATCACGATCTCAAGCAACGAGTTATTGCCTGTCTCAACAAGCTTGAGGACCGGGATACACTTGCTATGGCGGCGAATGAGTTGGAATCAATTGCTAAGGCTCTTACCTGTGACTCATTCGCGCCATTTCTTTCGTGTATTCATAATACTGATTCGTCGTCGAAATCGCCGGTGAGGAAGCAATGTGTATACCTTCTTGGTTTTCTTTCTCAGTTTCATGGAGATTCCTTGTCTCCTTTTGTGTCGAAGATGATTTCTACTGTTGTTCGTCGTCTTCGTGATTCAGACTCTACAATCCGATCTGCTTGCGTTGACGCTATGGCTTTGATGTCGTCGCAAATCACGAAGCCGCCATTCTCGGTTTTCTTGAAGCCGTTGATGGAGACGCTTACGCTTGAGCAGGATCTCAATTCGCAGACTGGTTCTGCTCTGTGTCTCGCGGCTGCGGTTGAGGCGGCACCTGACCCGGATGTGTTGCAGCTGCGGAAGAATTTGCCGAGGTTGGGGAAATTGGCTAAGAACGATGGATTTAAGGCGAAGGCTGCGTTACTGGCGCTTATTGGGAGTATCATTGCTGTTGGTGGTGCGACGAGTCGAAGCGTATTGGACTGGCTGGTGCCGTGCATTGTTGAATTCTTGAGCAATGACGATTGGGCTGTAAGGAAGGCGGCCGCAGAAACTCTCGCGAGAGTGGCCGTCGCTGAAAGGGATTTGGCTGTCGACTACAGATCATCGTGTATTAATTCTTTGGATAGCCGGAGATTTGATAAGGTAATATGTTAAACCTTTGGGATTCATAGAAATTGAGGGAAAATCATGAGCAATTTTGTATTGACTGCGTACAATTTACAGATCAAGGTCGTTCGGGAGACGATGAACCAAACTTTGGAGTTATGGAAAGAGATACCTGACGCTTCTGGAGACATCTCAACTGGTAATTTCTTTTACAATTACGTTAGTTTGATTATCAATCTGGTACATGGCGATCGAACTTCAATTTTGAATTGGTCATTGTTCATACTTATTCATCCTTCTAGGAATGTTGAGAATTGGATACTTAGGTCTGAGCTAGTCCCTCTGATTTGAAAATCCTTGGATCTTGTTTAGTAAGTTCAAAGTGAATTAGTTGTCAGTATGGTGGTTGTCTATTTCAATGTTCATGGTCCCAATTCATGTTTCAAGTTGTTGAGCTTATTTTGCTTATATAAATATCACATTTAGTATCTTTTGGGTTCTTCCATGGGTCAGATAATGACAATGGCGGATGCTTTCCTCCCACTTCCACATGCCCCCATGAAGACAGTTTACGAACACCATTGAAGAAAACAGTCCCCACTAGCAGGTCCTCTCCAATGGGTGTATCGCGTGTGACTAATAATAAGAAGGTCAGTCCAAAGAACACAGATAAGACTTCAAGCACACCCATATCTAAGCTGGAACGCCAGAAATCTTGGAAAGTTGAAATTGCAGTATCAAACTCCCCCTCCTCAAAAGTTAATTCTGGGAACAATGCTGTTGGGGAAGATTCTGAAAACATAGATTTCCAAGGGAATGGTAGAAGTGGAAATTCCATTTTCAATGCGAAACGAGTTCTTTATAATGATGTGCGTGATGAGAAAGTTAACAAGGCCAGCAATTTGAGATCTGGGTCTCGCGTAGTTCCATTTGATGAGCATGGGGACATTCAGGAGCATGAGAATCGAGACTCGGATGTTACCGTTGACAGCTCAAGTGAAGAAGCTTACGGGAGCTACAAAGATTTTGAAGTTATCTCACTCATTCGTGACCAACTTCGTCAGATTGAGAACCAACAATCTAGCCTTCTAAACCTTCTCCAGGTAGGCATGTCTGTCTTTTATGATTATACCATATATTTTGTTGCACGTTATTCCTTTATGGCCTGCTTTCTCCTCGGTGTATAGGTCCCATTAGTTATGGTTGGGTGGGAGTACCACGTTGGCTAATTTAGGGAATGATCATGGGTTCTTACGAGGCTTTTTGAAAAAGCCCAAAGCAAAGTCACGAGAGCTTATGCTCAAGGTGGGTAATATCGTACCATCGTGGAGAGTCGTGATTCCCAAAACCTGTTGCTTGACTTTTCATACTTAAAAGTTCCACATGCACAATTAGGAATCAGTCTCTAGAGTCTATAGAATAATCATCATTTATCACAACACCACATGCCTCAACTTCACGCTTCTTTTAGTCAACTACTTCTGTATCGAATTTCATTGTGATTATAAATTTTCTTTTCCTAAGGAGACTTAATGGCTGCCATTTAATCATTTTAATTTGGTCAACTAAATGTCTCATCTGAAGGTCAGAGTGTCTGTCACAATTGGTGAGTACAGGTCATGTTTGGCGGTGGTGGTGGTAGTGGTTGGGGGGAATTATTTTGTTCTTTGTCAGCATTTAAGCTTTATTAATCTATTTTGACTTTGAATTACCGTGAATGTAAGATGCATGCATCAATGGTGATTTCTGATTAGAAATTTCCCTTTCTGAAATGAATTCAGAGCTTTATTGGGAGTTCTCAGAGTGGTTTGAATTCATTGGAGAAACGAGTACATGGACTGGAGATGGCATTAGATGAAATATCTTACGACTTGGGTTTGTCAAGTGGAAGGGTCACTAATAGCGGGTATGCCGAAAACTCATGTTGCAAGCTGCCCGGTGCAGAATTTTTAAGTTCCAAGTTCTGGAGGCGAGCAGAAGAGCGGCATTCTGGTTCAAAGTTCTGTGTCGCCTTGCCTAACGATCTGCATCATACACTCGAAAGAGACGTCATTTCCGAATCAATTAAGCAAAGTAGAGGAGGATTTGTTATGAATCCGTTGGCCACCATTGATGGTGAACTTAGAGAAAACTTGGGACAGTATCCAAAAAGATTACTGAAACCTATAATCCAAGAGAGTGATAGTGTGCCTATTCACAATGCATGTGGGAGTGATTAGGTTCAAAAACAGCCCAAATTTCATCTGCAGGTAATTCATTATCTGAATTCTTTTCAATTGTCGAATATTAAATTCTTATGCTATTTTGATGAAGTTTTGATGTGTGATCTTCATCACTGCCTAGTCTGAACTGAAATTACCCGTTTTTGAAGGGTTTTCCTAATCAGAGCAAGCAAGGGTGTCGTGAAAAGAGGCCAAAAGCGATGAACAACGGAGTAATTATGGCATTAAGCTCAAGATTGAAGGAAAGTGTTTGGGGGCTATCGATGCTTCACGGGGGTCCTTTTGGATTATAATGGTGAATGATGGCAGAGGAGATGGTCTTCTTTGCCACGTGAAAACTGACAGAAGATTTAAATCCTTCTTTATCACTTCTTTCTCTCTCACTCATCTCCTTTGGCAAGAAGGTGAAGAAAGAGCTGATGGTTTTGTATGTATTGCCAGTGAATAGCATAAAATGGAAGCACAGTTCTCTTTTAGCTTGCTGGATTGAGTTACTAGTTCCAAGAATTAGAATGAATCTAAAATGCCAAAAGGGGAAAAAAACTAAAGCCACTTTTGGACAACATTGGCCAGGACGGTTGTTTTCTAGTTCAACCATTTGTCGTGGAAGGGGGAAATTGTTACGAACCACGAACTTTCATAGAGTCTCCCCTGAGGCTTATGGAGCCCTCGAAAAGTCTTGGTTGTTTTCTAGTTTGACAATTTGTGGTGGAAGAGGGAATTGTTAGGAACCACGAATCTCCACTGACAAAGTACACCATAGAGCCTTCCCTAAGGTCTATGGAGCCCTCGAAAAGTCTCTTCTCAATTGAGGCTCAATTTCTTTCTTTGAAGCACTCGAATAATGTACACCATTTGTTCGACACTTGAGAGTTCTATTGACGTGACTAAATTAATGGCATGACTCTAATATCGTGTTAGGAACTACAAATCTCCATAATGGTATAATATTGTCCACTTTAAGCACTAGTTCTCTCATAATTTTGATTTTAATTTTTTTCCAAAAGACTTTATACGAACATAGATAGTATTTCTTACTTATAAACTCATGATTATTGCCTTAACTCTCTCCTAACCATCCTTAATAGAAATTAGAATCTAATTGGATGATGCCTTAAACAGGTGTCATGTAAAGAGTATTTTATTATTTAATGAAATTTATTAGAAAGGCAAATTGATAAACTAATTAGTATCACAATTAAATTAAATAATTTAACTGAACATTCACGCACACATCCTTAATCGGCCACATGCTTGGCTTGGTGGTATAGAAACTAAAGTGAAGACGAAAGCTCTACAGACGCCGTGCAAGTTACTATCGGCCTAGGAGACTACCTTTATCTTCTAGGGTTGTCGTCGTGGTCTTTTAGGTCCCTAGGGGGGCTTTGTAGCTTTAACATGGATTCATGTCTCCAAGTTTCTCTGATCTAACTCTGTGAGTCTAGTTTGGTCGAAAGCATTAGGGAGTGAGCTAGCTGATCGTCACTCACGATTCTAAGGTGCTCGGACTACTGGAGGCGTTTCATCCTAGTTCATAATCTAGTCAAACTCACTCTGACGCCTTAGTCTTATTTCGTTACTACTACTTACACCTTACACGAAGATCACACTTTCAATCACTTAGAGTTAATGTACATCAAATCATGCATACAGGCACAACGGAGATCACACTTCCCATCACTTAGAGCTAATCTATAATCATTGATAAAAAAAAAAAAAAAAAAAAAAAAAAAAAAAAAAAAAAAAAAAAAAAAAAAAAAAAA